GTGTGGTTTTTTTTTTTTTTTTTTTTGAGATGGAGTCTCACTCTGTCGCCCAGGCTGGAGTGCAGTGGCCACATCTCGGCTCACTGCAAGCTCCACCTCCTGGGTTCACACCATTCTCCTGCCTCGGCCTCCCGAGTAGCTGGGACTACAGGTGCCTGCCACCATGCCTGGCTAATTTTTTGTATTTTTAGTAGACATGGGGTTTCACTGTTAGCCAGGATGGTCTCAATCTCCTGATCTCGTGATCCGCCCACCTCGGCCTCCCAAAGTGCTGGGATTACAGGCATGAGCTGCCGTGCCCAGCCTGACCTGGCTAATTCTTAACTTTTGTAGAGACAGGGTCTTGCCATGTTGCCCAGGCTCTAGAGTACAGTGCTGCAATCTTGGCTCACTGCAGCTTTAAACACCTGGACTCCAGCGATCCTCCCACCTCAGCCTCCCAAGTAGTTGGGACTATGGTCATGGGCCACCACACCCAGCTAATTTTTGTATTTTTTGTAGAGATGGGGGTCTCATCATAATGCCCAGGCCAGTCTCAAACTCTTGGCCTCAAGCATTCGCCAGCCTTGGTCTCCCGAAGTGCTGGGATTACAGGCAAGCCACTGTGCCTGGCTGTATATAGTCTTTATTCTTTTCAAAATGTGGTAGGACAGTTCTACACCTCTGTTTTTTTTGTTTTGTTTTGTTTTTGTTTTTTTACCAATGACATATCTTGGAGATAGTTGCAGTTTATTTACCCAGTCCCTCCTGGTAGATATTTTCATTGTTTCCAACCTATTGCTAGGACAGACAATCGTGCAATATTCTTATACAAGTGTGGCTTTTACCACGTTGCAGGATACCCATCAGACAAATTCCAAGAAGTGGAACTGCTGGGGCAAAGGGAATTTTTATTTGAAATGTTAACACTGCCCAATGGTTCTCCATGGTGGTTACATCAATTTATCTACCAGCAATATATGAAAGTTCTTGCTTTCCCACATCCTTACCAATATAGAATATTATCATTTAAAACAAATCTCAATCTGAGTCATTAAAGATGGCATGCCAGAATGAGGCTAAGCATCTTACATATTCTAGAGACATCTGCATTCCTTTTTCTCTAGATTACTTGTTCATTTCCTTTGCTCATTTTTCTCCTGGGTTTTTGGTCTTTTTTTTTTTTTCCTTAATATAGATTTATAAGAGCTCTTTAAAAAAAAATAAAGAAATTAGCCCTTGCATGCAATCGATTTTTTTTCCCTGCCTACTGTTTGGATTTATTTATGGTGTTCTGTTCCATGAAGAATATTTTAATTTTTATAGTCACAGTTTAAAAACCTGCTTTCTTCATTCTTGCTCATGATACAAAAAATGGAGAAAGCAAGATTTTAAATTGTGTATTTTCTTTTAAGACTTCTGGATATGATGGAATACTGACATCCTTTCCTGTTTTCTTTGAGGACTTTAATGGTTTCCTTTGGTTTCATCTGTCTTTTATCCTACTCAACTTTTTTTTTTTTTTTTTCCAGAGAGTTGCTCAATTGTCCCTATACCGTTTATTAAATAATACATTTTTTTTTTGAGACAGAGTCTCACTATGTTGCCCAGGCTGTAGTGTAGTGGCACAGTCACAGCTCACTGAAGCCTCAACCTTCTGGGTTCAAGTAATCCTCCCACTTCAGCCTCCCAAGTAGCTGGGACCACAGGCACACGTCACCACACCCACCTAATTTTAAAATGTTTTGTAAAGATGAGGTCTCCCTATGTTGCCCAGGTTAGTCTTGATCTCCTAGGCTCAGACAATCCTCCCACCTTGGCCTCCCAAAGTGCTGGGATTACAGGTGTGAGCCACCACACCCAGATCCATCTTTCCTCCTGCATTCATTTTCTTAATTTTAAAAACTCAAGTTAACATGTCACACATATATGAATGCACAGTGGCGGGTAATTTCCAGTCTTGCCAGACTCTATGAAAAGACTCAACAAAATGACTACCAGTTTTATATCTAAAATAATTTAACTTCACTTTAATGCAGGACGGAATTACTTGTAAAGGAAAAAAATAACAACAATCACCTCCTTTTCCAAGGCCTGTATGAGCACACCTACCCACTTGGATCTCTTTTAGTCTCATTCTCTTTTGTACATATCTCATTAGGTCCTTATTTTGAGCTTTTTTATTCATGAATGACCTGCGCTGTACAATTGAGGACTTTATTGCAACTGAATGCCGTACAGCATAAGACCATCCTGCTGACGAACCATTTCTTACATGTGTATGTAATTCCCCAACTAGCTAATATCTTTGTTGTATACTAATATGGCTTATACTTTTTTCCCCATTTGAGTTCTAAACCGAGTTGGACACAAAGATGGTGAAGGTTAATACAAATGTACGCTATACTGATCTTCCCATCTCTTTCTTAGTTTCGTGTGTGTGTGTATGTATGTGTGTGTGTGTGTGTGTTTGTGTGTATATGTGTGTTTGTGTATGTATATGTTTGTGTTTATCTGTGTGTCTGTGTATATGTGTGTACACATGTGTTTGTGTGCATATGTATTTGTATATGTATATGTGTGTATGTATGTGTGTATGTGTGTATATGTGTATGTGTTTGTGTATGTATATTTGTGTTTATGTGTATGTGTGTGTGTGTTTGTGTGTATATGAGTGGTTGTGTGTATGTCTGTGTTTGTGTGTATGTGTGTATATGTGTGTGTGTATGTGTGTGTTTCCCCTTAACTACTTCTAGTTTCAAGTTTCCTAAGGCTGTCCTCAGAAAACACCACATACCCCTTCCTTGCCTTTACCTGTGCACAACGACAAAGGCTCCGGGGGTCCAGGAAAGAAAAGATGTATAAAGATAACACCCTTGGAAGCTTGGTTGTAAAGTCCAGGGCTTCTGCTGGAATTTTCTCTTGAAGCTTTCGACAGCAGAACTTTTGCTGGGACAGCGAGCAGCGCTCCAACAGGCCTGTGAGGATTCTTCTTCTTTGAGAGTCTGTCCATTTGTCAAACTGGAAAAACAAAAGAAAGCAAAATGTAAAAAGCTCCAGGTTTAGTCTGATAGCAGATTCATTACAAGTAAGAGATGACAATGGCACAGAAAGTGAGTTTAGTAATTTATTTCTAGTGCAAATCAAGTATTTATTTCCCTAATCAGCAAATTCCATGCTTTGCCACCTGTCTTCTCTCACATTTATATGGGAGCATGTGCATGACCTAAGTGTGTACACAGAAGTGCATGTGACCTCAAAACTTACAGTCACATATGAACAATAAATTGGGAGCTGCCCATATTCATAAACTGAGAATATATCTGCTTATAAAAGACAATTTTAAGGGAAAATAACTGCGCAGCTCCTCCCCGCAAATAGTTTCTGCATTATCCCATCAGTGCTTAAAACGGCAGGACCAGAAACAAACCCTTGTATTCACAATTGGAGATAAAGTATTACAAGCAAGTATCGCTGAGAAGGAAAGTATATTGGGGTCAATTCTCACTAGTATGTAAATGACTGATATGATCGGAGAGGATGTGTTGATAAAGGAGGACTTGAAGAGAGGAAGTGAATGCCAAAGGAAGCCAGGGTACGTCCAACAATTGGCTACCTCACAATTTTCCTCAGAGATTTCCCTGAACAACACCCAAAATCAGGGAATGACCAAGGATGAGCACCTTGGGACTGCCCAAAACCAAAAGAGAGGAAGGAAAGAACACCTACCAGCTCAGTGAGCCACTTCACTGGAAGTCTAAATCTATTTTCTTCTCTGGCCCATTGGGGAAGAGAAAATAGGGAAGTTTCAGCTGGCTGTATTTTTGTATATTATTGCATTTCAGAGATAGATATTCAGTACAGTTATAAATAGATTTTTTTTTTTTTTTTTTTTGAGATGGAGTCTCGCTGTGTCGCCCAGACTGGAGTGCAGTAGCGCAATCTCGGCTCACTGCAACCTCCACTTTGTGGATTCAAGCGATTCTCCGGCCTCAGCCTCCTGAGTAGCTGGGATTACAGGCATGAACCACCGCACCTGGCTAACTTTAGTATTTTTAGTAGAGACAAGGTTTCACCATGTTGGTCAGGTTGGTCTCGAACTTCTGACCTCGTGATCCAACCACCTTGGCCTTCCAAAGTGCTGAGACTACAGGCGTGAGCCACCGCACCTGACTATAAACAGAATTTTATAATCTGTTTATAATCATTTAGTCATAATCATAAAATACACTGACTACCTAAAAAGGCATGTAAAGGAAACATTTATTTTTTGCAAGCCTTACAACAAGTTAACTTCATTATAGTTATACAATATATTTTAAATTTAATTTGATTTTTTTTTTCTTTTTGGCTTCTCAAGGGTCAACTTGATTTTTTTTTTAATTAGTAGTGTTAAAAAACAAAATGTCAACAAATTGCGTTTAAAGATCTAATTGGCTTTTATTAGCGATTCATGAATCAGGCAGCATCCCATCAAAAGAACAGATAGCAGGTCCTCAGAGTTGAGCAGAGGAGGTTGGTTGGCTTCAGGGTTGGAAAAGGGTTGAAGAGAGCAGAAATAGGCCCAGTGCAGTGGCTCATGTCTGTAATCTCAGCACTTTGGGAGGCAGAGGTAGGAGAATCTCTTGAGCCCAGGAATTTGAAACCAGCCTGAGCAACACCCCATCTGTACAAAAGAATAAAAAGTTAGCTGGGTATGGTGGTGTACAACTGTGGTTCCAGAAACTCGGGAGGTTGAGGTGGGAGAATTGCTTGAGCCCAGGTGGTGGAGTCTGCAGTGAGCTGTGGTCATGCCATTGCACTCCGGCCTGGGCAACAGAGAGAGACCCTGTCAGAGAATAATAATAATAATAATAAAGTAAATTTTAAAAAAGGAGAAATAAGGAACAAAAAGTGGATTGATTATTTCAGAGTTACTTTCCTTATAAGATTAACACATAAGACTTTCTTATGCCAGTTCAGATAAACTGGGACCCTCCAGATTGGTGGCTGTGAATCTCCTGTTTTGGGTTTGTTTGTTTGTTTGTTTGGTCCTGTTTTTCATTTTTAATTTAAACTGGCCCTTTTTAAAGTTCAGTTTGATTATGTGACAGTGCCTCCATTCCGGGTTGGTTTGGTCTGTTGGAGCCTAGTATAGGAGCTCAGTCCAAAACAATGGCCTTCCATAAATTTTAACAGTAGAGGCTCGGTGGCTCACGCCTGTAATCCCAGCACTTTGGGAGGCTGAGGCCAGTGGATCACGTGAGGTCAGGAGTTCGAGACCAGCCTGACCAACATGGAGAAACCCCGTCTCTATTGAAAACACAAAATTAGCTGGGCATGGTGGTACATGCCTGTAATCCCAGCTATTCAGGAGTCTGAGGCAGGAGAACTGCTTGAACCCGGGAGGCGGAGGTTGCAGTGAGCCGAGATCGTGCCATTGCACTCCAGCCTGGGCAACGAGAACAAAAACTCCGTCTAAAAAAAAAAAATTAACAGTAGAATAACAGTAGAAATACTTCCTAATTAAAACTATCCAATATTATAGATTTATTCAATGACCCACAAATCTCACTTTGGAGACTATCACTGTGGTGGGGCGGAGGGGGGTCCTAAAATGAAAAAACAGAAACTTTAACTGCAAAGACCACAGGAATAAAACTGATTCATATGTGAGTGTTCCCTGACTTTTAGCCCCGTTTCTATACAAGCCATATCTCCAACTCCCATAAAAGGAGACTTCTGGCTGGGTGCAGTGGCTCACGCCTGTAATCCCAGCACTTCAGGAGGTCGAGGCAGGTAGATCACAAAGTCAGGAGATCAAGACCATCCTGGCTAACACGGTGAAACCCCATCTCTACTAAAAAAAAAAAAAAAAAAAATTAGCCAGGCATGGTGGCGGGCGCCTGTAATCCCAGCTACTGCACTCCAGTCTGGGCAACAGAGCAAGACTCCATTTCAAAAATAAATAAATAAATAAAAGGAGACTTTTTTCCCAGCTCTTTCAGATGGGTTCTCAGGAGAATGAGTAGAGAGAAACCAGGCCAGAATGGCTAAGGCCAGAGGAACTGGCCCCAGAAGCTGAACTGATCTATGAAATAAAGAGCCAAAAAGAAGGTGAGAAGAGAGAGAGGGAGAACAGTTTGAAAATTGGCATGATGGGAGTCACAGAGGTGATGGTAGCCTCTACAGTAGCTAGTGTGGGAGGGCTCGGGAGTGAAGGAAGATTGGAGGGGTATGGCTATGAGTTTTGAACTGGATTTCCTGTTTTCTTTGAAAGAGACAAAATGAAGATTGGAATTCATTTTATTTATTTTTTATTTCATTCTGTTTTTTTAGAGACAGGGTCTCACTCTGTCGCCCAGGTTGGAGTACAGTGGTGCAATCCTAGCTCACTACAGCCTCAACCTCCTGGGCCCGAGGAATCCTCCCACCTCAGCCTCCTGAGTAGCTGGGATGTGCCACCACATCAGGCCTGGAATTCATTCTAAAATGACATTTGGGCAGTGCTATGTGAGTCTGGCGAGGCTGAGCTACGTTGAGACCCAGGATGATTATGGGCACAAAAAATTTTCATAAGATATTATGGCTGCCACAAAATCAAAGATAACTCAAAATGCCTAGTAGTAGGGGATCAGCTAAACAAACCATAATATAACAACATGACAGGGGAAAGCAGGGCATTATGGGTTGATGGTGGGCTTCAGAATAAGACAATTTGCTGTCTCACTCCCAATATTCTATTAGTTCTTTTACTCATCAAAAATATGTCAGCCTCGATTTCTTCATTTATACATTAGAGATAATCACATCTACCTCGTAGGGTGGTTGAGAGGATTAAATACAATAATATATGTATAAAATTCCTAATAGAGTACATGACTCATTGTAGACATGGCAGCTACTATTAGAAAATGTCACAGTGATGTTAAAAATAATATGTATGTGGGTTAAGTAACTATAAAAAGAAATGCGCATAAAATTACCATGTTTGTACATTGACAAGGATGGAAAGTGCATTTAGAATAAATGAGGCTAGCTCATCCACTTTCCTGCTGCCCTCAAAAGAGAATGGGCTCACGTTGCAGAATGAGTGATTTAACACAAATATAAAAGAACATTAGGATTATAAAATACTGAAGAAATCTATAAAAGAAAACATTAAAACACTTTCTCTAGCGATGAAAAAGATAATTACATTGGTTCCTCATTTATTTCCCTGATTACAACGGTCAGAGGTAATTTGTTTGGCTTTGATAGGTGTTCTTTGCCTCAAGGGATTTTCCTTTCCAATTATGTTTGCTTAGGCCAATAGAAAACTAATTTACATTCCTTGAACTACCAACTGAAGAAGGTTGGGAGATGACTCAGAAGAATGCTGAACAGTAGGGGAAAATCCCTTTAGGATTTAGAAGGTGCTAGAAATAATCCAAAAAGTACATAATCCATGGAAGGGTTAACTGTACAGGAATTCAGTTATCCCCCACATATCTTGCGTCACCTCTCAAGGAAAAATACCCCTTACTGAGTAGCCAGGGACCTCATGTATGAGACTAGGGCACTGTCAGGACCATTATTCTCCTATTCTAGCATCACGTACGGTACCTTGCTTCACAATTCATTCCTGAAGGATGCCTTTTTAAAGGCTTTCTTGACTCAATATAACTGTGCACATCCTATTTTTAGAGTAGTTGTTACAAGGATTCTTGCTGTCATTTCAGGAAGTGAGAAGGTTGCTGGGGTGATCAGGTTCCACCCACCTCACACTGAATGGCAAAAAGAGGGTGGGAGGGAGATAAAGAGAGAGGCTTGTTTTTGCTGGCTTATTCGTTATATTATCTCTTCTGGTTGAGTTTCTGAGTCCTATTATCAAAAATTTAATTTCACAAAGTATAAATACGTTTTTGTCTTAGAAGTTTCAAACAGGGCCGGGCGAGGTGGCTCACGTCTATAGTCCCAGCACTCTTGAGAGGCCAAGGCGGAAGGATTGCTTGAGCCCAGGAGTTCAAGACCAAAACCAGCTGGGCAACACAGCGAGATCGTTTCTTTAAAAAAAAAAAAAGTGCTATGCTAGCATATGCCTGTAGTCCCAGCTACTTGGGAGGCTGAGGTGGGAGGATCACTTGAGCCCAGGAGGTAGAGGCTGCAGTGAGCCGAGATCACGCCACTGCACTCAAGCCTTAGCTACAGAGCAAGACTAGGTCTTGAAAAAAACAAAAGTTTCAAGCAGACACATATAGAATCAACAGAATAAAAAATGAAAAGCTTCTTTAACACTGCTCCCTATCAAATCTCACTTCATCTCCCAGAGATAACCACGGTACAAAAGTTTGATGTTCATGCATTTCCTTTTTTTCTAACTAAAAAAAAAACAATTTTTAAGGCTGGGCATGGTGGTTCATGCCTGTAATCCCAGCACTTTGGGAGGCTGAGGCGGGCGGATCACCTGAGGTCAGGAATTTGAGACTAGCCTGACCAGCACGGAGAAACTCCGTCTCTACTGAAAAAAATTTACAAAATTAGCTGGCCATGGTGGCGCATGCCTGTAATCCCAGCTACTCGGAAGGCTGAGGTAGGAGAACGGCTTGAAGCCAGGAGGAGGAGGTTGCGGTGAGCCGAGATTGCGCCATTGCACTCCAGCCTGGGCAACAAGAGCGAAAACCTGTCTCAGAAAAAAAGAAAAATTGTTTTCAGAGATAAGGTCTTGCTATGTTGCCCAGGCTGGAGTGCAGTGGCTATTCACAGGCATGATCATGGTGCACTACAGCTTCAAACTCCTGGGCTCAGGTAATTCTCCTGCTTTAGTCTCTGGATTAGCTGGGACTTGAGGCGCACACCACCATGCCTAGAAGATGGTTATGCATTTCTATACATTCACATACACACATATCTCCATCAAGTTGCAGGTAGTGAAATAAATTAGAGTATACCCATCCCAGCGAATACTATGTAGCAGTTTAAAAAATAAACAAAATGGCCGGGCGTCGTGGCTCAGGACTGTAATACCAGCACTTTGGGAGGCCAAGGTGGGTGGATCACAAGGTCAGGAGTTCGACACCAGCCTGACCAACATGGTGAAATGCTGTCTCTACTAAAAATACAAAAATTAGCTGGGCGTGGTGGCACACGCCTGTAATCTCAGCTGCTCAAGAGGCTGAGGCAGGAGAATCACTTGAACCTGGGAGGCGGAGGTTGCAGTGAGCCAATGCACTCCAGCCTGGGTGACAGAGTGAGACTCCATCTCAAAAAATAATAATAATAATAATAAATAAATAAACAAAATGTAGCCACACATGTCCTGATATGTAATGAACTCCAGGGCATATTGTCTTCTCATTCTGTCATAGTAGGATGAATACAGCATTTTGTGTTTACTCAATTTACTACTGATACCATTACTACTGATACCTTTCCAGTAGGAAGAAAGAAAAAGAAGGAGGAGGAGCAATATCTTGGTACATGCTTTTTCATGCCTTTTCATGTTCTGAATGAATAAATCTCTAGTATACATAAATATAGAGGCTCAAAGGGTACGTGCATTTAAAATTTTAACAGATCCTGTCAAATGGTCTTTAAAAGGTCTTTACCATTTTACATTCCCTCCAAGTGAGTTTAAAAGTATCTTCCTGCTCTCTAGTGAATCCTTCCTTACAGGGTATATTATATATATAATATATATAGTGAAGAGTTATATATATTATCTAATTCTTCAATTTTTGCCATACAGGCAAGGAAGAGAGAATTTGGGAATTTCATTGTTTTCATTTGCATTTCTCTGATTTTGGTAAAATTGAGCATATTTTATATGCTTAGTGTTCATTTATTTTTTAAATATTCCTCATTCTTATATTAGCCCATTATTCTGTAGGGACATTTGTATTTTTCTTATTGACTTGTAAGAACTCTTTATATATCCTGGATATTAATCATTTTTCTGTCATGCAATTTGCAAAATAGTTTTCCTTGTTTCTCTTTTGAATTCTAACTCTGATTATGGTTGTTTCCAGCAAGTTAAAAGTGATGTCATCTACTTTATTAAAATAGGTTATGATATTACTATTATTTATACTAGCAACAGAGCAGAAGCTGAGAGAAAATCTGAGATTCTTTCCCTTTTCACTTCTCCTGCTGTGTTCTCTCTCAATTTGGGAGGCAATAGCCTTTTCTAACAGAGATTGAAGGGCAGAGATTTGAGAGGAAGGGGATTACGTAGTAGCATGAAACAGCAAAGTAGAAGAGCTTTTCAGTTTCTCTTGATTATTTTATTTGCTGTTGTACAGAACATTAGACAGAACCATGTGCAAATAAATGAACAAAAATTGCCAAATTCTATGGCCAAATATGAAAACACTTCCAGACTGTCTATCATTGAATACAATTCAGATTACATTTTATCTCTCACTGTCTAGATTCTTTTTAAAAAAATGACTTCACTTCTAATACTAGATTAAACTTTAAAACTAAGACAGTGCTGGATGCCTACAGTGAAAATTCCAAGCAATGCTAAGTAAAAACACTGGTACCTTTATTTCTCCTTCTTCCCTCCTTCCCTCCCTCCCTCCCTACCTCCTTCCTTTCTCTCTCTTACTTTCGAAAATGCATTTCTTATGTTACTGTCTTGAAGTCCATGAAACACACAAAGAAAATCTAAAAATTAAAATGGAGACAGAAATGTAAATAAAGTAGAAATATCTCCCTTAAGCCTCATTCACTGGGTTTTTGCAGGGGTACATAGGCTACCATATGACTTAGTGATTTTAAGGAATAAGTTTGTTTGGGGAAAGGAGAAAAACAAGAGACCATTATTTATTGATTTAGAAAATATCTGTTAATGCCTGGTAAGCATCGAGGTACGTACAACGAAAAACAGGATAGAAGCCAGCTCTGCCTCCGTAGATTATTCTCTTGAAGAAAGAAAATAGAGAATCTCAAAAAAAAAAAAAAAAAAAAAGCCCAGAGATGGATATTTTGATCATCATCCAGGGATGGCCATTGAGACTTTGTGTCCCTCCTTTTGAGGAACAGATGAGAAAGTCCTAGTTTTTGGTGAAGGACAGTTGTATCTTGTTAGGTAAAAACATAACATTGTTACAGTTCTTGTATGAAAGTGTCAGGATCTATAGAAGGGTATATATGAATGCTGAGTAGCCAAATGGGTAAACCGTGCTAGTTACTAAGTTATTGTCCCTCAGATCCAAATTCATCTTTCTATTTTGGGGTTTGTTTGTTTTGAGACATGGTCTTGCTCTGTTGCTTAGGCTGGAGTGCACCAGTGCAACAGCTCACTATAGCCTTGAACTCCTGGGCTCAAGCAATCCTCCTGCCTCGTCCATCCCAAGTAGCTGGGACTATAGGAATGCACCATTACACCTGCCTAATTTTTTAAATTATTATTTTTGTAGATATGGGGTTTTGTTATGTTGCCCGGACTAGTCTCAGACTCCTGGCTTTAAGCTCTCCTCCTCCCTCAGCCTCCCAAAGTACTGGTATTATAGCCATGAGCTATTGCACCTGACCCGAATCCACCTTTCTATGCTCTACTTTGTGAGCATAGAAGGCAGGATCTCTTGGGCTGGGCATGTGGTTCACACCTGTAATCCCAGCACTTTGGGAGGTCAAGGGTGATGGATCACCTGAGGTCAGGAGTTTAAGACCAGCCTGGCCAACATGGTGAAACTCCAGATCTACTAAAAATACAACAAACTAGCCAGGCGTGGTGGTGGGCACCTGTAATCCCAGCTACTCAGAAGGCTGAGGCAGGAAAATCACTTGAACCCAGGAGGCAGAGGAGGTTGCAGTGATCTGAGATGGCGCCATTATACTCCAGCCTGGGCAACAAGAGCAAACCTCCATCTCAAAAAAATAAAAGAAGGCAGGATCTCTATCACCATATTTCTCCTTTGACAGCTGGCTCCCGGATAAATGCTGCCAATGAGGTGGAAGGTACTAGAGGGAAACTGAGGGACGAGAAACTTACTCCTGCTTGGTTGCTGTTCCTATCAGGATCACCTAACTCTTGACCCTGACAGTAGCCATTGATTCCAAGGTCCAGTTTTTTTTTTTTTCCATACACCTAGAACCATCATGTTTTGCCAGCTGTATCAGAACCAGTTGGCTGTGATGTCATCTGCTTTATTCCATAGAAATCTGACTTCCCTATGGTGCTGAAGGTCTTCCCTCTGAGCTCCCAGTACCAGGAAAGCTGGTGGTAGCTAATTCCCACAGTTCTATCTCCCTGGAACCTCAGCCTTCCCTTTCTGTCTCTTCTGTTCTCCAATATTTGCTTAACCAATCCTTTTCATTTAATTATGTCTGTTAAAATAAGATACGATTTCTGTTTCCCTGACCAAATCCTAACTGATACTTACAGAAAGCACCTGTCATGCTTCTCAGGAAATGAGGAAGCACTCCCTTAAATCCAAGCTGAATTCTCTAGGCTCTGTGATAATGCTACAGACTGAATGTTTATGTCACCCCCAAATTCATGTTGAAATCTCAACCCCCCAGTGTGATGGGATTAGGAAGTGATTAGGTCATGGGGGTGGGCCTCAAGAAGGGGATTATTGTCCTTATAAAGGAGATCCCAGATAACTCATTCCCCCTCTTCTGCCACATGAGGACACAGTGAGGAGGTGACTGTCTATGAAGAGAGGCCTCAGCAGACACTGAATCTGCCAGCACCTTGATCTTGAGCTTCCTAAGCCTCTGGAACCATGAAAAATAAACGTCTGGGGTTTTTTTCCTTCTATCCAAGTTGAGTAAAAAAATGCCTGTTATTTGTAAGCCACCCAGTCTGATTTTTTAAAAGCAGCCTGAAAGATGAAAACAGATAACATAACATAATGCAAAAACATTATGTTTTTAATATAAATATAAGCTATATTTTAAATGTTTACCCATTTGCCAAGCAGGGCTCTTCTTTCTTCAAATACCTACAATAAGTAAAAAAGAATATGGTAATTTCATATATCATAGTTCAAAATACCCATTACAAGAAAGATATCATTAAGGGATCTATGAATAAATATTCATTGTATCAACTGAATATAAAAAGACAGATTTTACTCCTGAGGTTATGTATTTTTACCCTGGGCAAGGTTTCTCTTTTTTTTTATTTCAGTTTCTACATGTGGAATAATTCATATGAAAGAAGAAGTAATAAGGCTGGGTACAGTGGCTCACACCTGTAATCCCAGCACTTTGGGAGGCCGAGGCAGGCAGATCATTTGAGCTAGGGAGTTTAAGAGCAGCCTGAGCAACATGGTGAGACTCCATCTCTACAAAAAATACAAAAAATTAGCCAGGTGTGCTGGTGTGTCCCTGTAGTCCCAGCTGAGGCTGAAGTGGGAGAATCGCTTGAGCTTGGGGAGTTGAGGCTGTAGTGAGCTATGATCATGTCATTGTACTTCTTACCTGGGTGACAGTGCCAGATTCTGTAAAAAAAAAAAAAAAAAAAAAAAAGAAGAAGAAGAAGAAAAAGAAAGAAGTAATAGTTGTTTAAAGGGGAGGAAATTTTAAAAATGGAATTATAAAGGGAAATCAGTTTTAGAATTTGAAAGGAGATGAAAAAACTAACAAAAAAACAGGAACATGAAACTCCCCCATCTGAAATGTTTCAGTATTAATAGTATGAGAATTTACGAAATAGGTGAATGATCAGTTCTGTTTTTCTATTTCAGTGTATACACATATCAGTGGGCGTACAAGTATGTACACATCTGTAGGATTAGAAATGTGTGTGTATGCACCGCTGGGCTTCCACTTGAATATTTGTTGGTATAGGTTTATTACAATATACTATTTAGGACAGAAACTAAGTCTTATTCATCTTGACATCTCCAGCAGAGTGCTTACAGAGCATGTTACAGGAATCTATGTTTATTGAATTGAACGAATGTGATTGTGAGAATGAATATCCTTATGGATGTATCAGTACAATGTGAGTATCTTTATATATTGGTGTTGAGGTGCTTTTCTGAGCATCAGTGCATATGTACATTTCAGTGAGTGAGGAAAGGAAGACTAATGTGGGTACATGTGGCAGACAAGGGGCTTATTAAGAGAGGAAGAGAAAGAGAGTAATGAACATATTTGAATGTCTCACTTGCTTTATCCCATACACCCTCTGTCAGCTTTCAAAATCGGGATTAATATTTTTCCCTCCTCTTGGCACTCACTACATTCTCTAGTGCTGTAAGAATGTTCCCTCTTGGAGAGGTGGCTCAGACCTATTTCTTCTCTTTTTATGGAAGAGGTTGAGGAGCTGGTTTTATGCTTCCCACAGATCGTGTTTTCCTTCCTTTTTTAACTCCCAAGCTCTGGTTGCCAAGGACATACAAAATAGGAATTGAAATAACTGGTTCAGCCACCACCTCGGGACCAGTGAAATGTCAGTTTTGCTCTTGGCCAGGGAATCTCTTCTGTCACAGACAGACACTTTTTGCACATAAAAGAAGAAGAAAAAGACCCTTCCCCGCAGCTAACTGCCACCTGGGCTACCAGGACCCTCAAATAATGGCAACAGATAAACTCAGAATTTCTAGATGAAAAGAAGTAGAAGAGAATCTGTAGAACACAGAAGATTCAAAATATCTAGATTCAAATATTGTCTGAATTCTTCTCTATCAATCATGCATCGCCCAACCCGTGCAACCAGTGTTGTCACTTTTCTGAAGCCCAGGGATTTCTCTCCTCCCAACTCCTACTCCATTTATAGTTCATGCTTCACTTAGACTTTATAGTGTTTGTTTTGCTCTCTAGTGGTGTCTGTTAGTTTTATCTTCCCAAGTAGATTACAACCACTTTCTCTTACATGCTCCATAGAACCCTCAAGTACAGAGTCCATGGAAGGCCTTCAATAAACCATTTTGCTGATTGACTAACAACAAGAAGAAAGCTTCAGAAGTCATCGAATTTTAGAGCTAAAAGGAATCCTAAAGATCTTTTTATTCGATTCCTATATTTTAGAAAGGATAAGCAGAGGACCAAAGAGGTTATATTTACAGATGTTTAAAAAATCTCTGGTTCCAAACTATGTGTTCAGCTCAACACTGCACTTGATTCCTCACCAGATCCTTGGTCTTTCCCATTCTGACTTCCAGCCTCACATTCTTGATGAACTTCTGCCCATGCTTTGGTCTGACTATAAGAAGAAGCAGAGGTTAGGTCCTGAGACCACAACAGAGCTTCAAAAGGAAGTTGAAGCATGGTGTCCAATGATGGTGTAACCCATTGGAAACAAAAGGAAACTGACTTAAAGGGGAAAAGACGGTCAACAAGAGGGTAGTAGAAAAGGAATGGGGTGGATATTGGGAAGTGCTACACAGGCTAAAACATGAGACAAAGTCTAAGCAGAGTCCATGCAAGTCCAGCTCTTTGCCAGACGGTAAACTCAAGCAGAAACTGATGGGACACAAGGGGTAGAGGAAAGACACTAGACTGAAAGTCAGGAGACCCCAGATCTGGTTCTGACTCTACCTTTGACAAGATGTATCATTTTGGGCAGATAATTTTGTCGTCAGGTTCTCAGTTGGACTTACAGTCTTACACACCCTGGTTTGGAGCAAGTCTTTATTTCAAAGATTTGCAATCAGGTTCTTCATTTTAAAGAGCTGGAAAACAAAGTATTTCTTCCAAATGGAAATATTAAAATGGATCTTCTTTTCTTGCAAGATGCTGCAGTCTGTTTATATCACAGTTTACTCAGAGCCTGCTGTTAAGTCAGAATCCCACGGTTGTTATTTTAGTCTGTTGACACTGTAGTTACATATTTCACCATATGACATCATTACAATGTAGGAGTGAGATATTTAGGGGCCCCTAAATAATGATCGATTGATGTAACTGGGTGCTTTTTCTCAGAACACCTTTTTTTAACATGTACTGTACAACATGTGTGAACCATACTCTAAAAGAAATGTGGATCATTTTCTTTTCTTTTTAAAAACTGTGTATATTTAAGGTATACAACTTGATGCTTTGATATCTACATATGTAATGAAATGTCAAGGAAATTGTCCTATCCATCACCTTCCATAGTTACCTTTCTATGTGAGTGTGTGATAAAGATCACTTTCAATTAAAACACTAGTTGGCAAAGAAATACACATTTTAAAAACATTCCTTCACTCAAAATTCACAATGCTTGAATAACTTACTAATCTGTTAAATATGCCTATCCTGGTGATGCTGGTTTTTTTTTTAGGCATCTAAATTTGAATTTAGAGAATTCAATCTCTCTGCTTAAAGCCTGCTGTGAAGTTAAAATCCTGTGACTCTTATTTTAGTCTAAGATAGTTACATATTTCACATTTTACTACAGAATAGAAGAAAGACAAAATTAAAACAAAACCAAAAAACAGGACCTTAAAATTTCACTGATCATTGGTGACAAACACCCTCATTTAGAAGTGTGGAAGCCCCTTGAAATGATTGTCTGCATGCCTTTTGGCCGGCTGTCTCCTTGGGCATCTATTTTTAATTCCTTTCACACAGTTAGAATGTTAGATCCAGAAGAGACCTTCAAGGTCATCTTATCCAATCCACTCATTTTACAAAGGAGGATAAAGCCCAGAGAAGGTAAAATTGGTACAGCTGATTTGAAACCAGAGTTTTCAATTCCCAGAGTTATCGTCCTTTGTTTGCTTATATGTACGGATGTGTGTGTGTATAATATATGATACATATTTATATTCTAATTTGTTTTAAAATTGGAAACTGCTGCACTGTATGAAGTAAGAAAATGAAAGCTCTCTCTTCTAACAGACCCTCCTCTGTCCACCAACACCCATATAACTCTTCGGGAAAAACCAGTATTAACAGTTTGATATGGCTGGGCATGGTGGTTGATGCCTGTAATCCCAGAGCTTTGGGAGGCTGAAACAGAGGCTCACTTGAGCTCAGGAGTTTGAGACTAGCATGAGCAACATAGTGAGACCTTGTCTCTACTAAAAATAAAAAAAAAAAATTAGCCGGGCATGGTGGTGTGAGCCTGGTGGTCCTAGCTACTTGGGAGGATGAGACAGGAAAATCACTTGAGCCCAGGAGGTGGAGGCTGCAGTGAGCCGTGATTGTGCCACTGTACTCCAGCCTGGGTGACAGAGTGAGATCCTCAAAAACAAACAAACAAACAAACATCAGCTTGGCATAATCACATACAAATTCTATGTGTGTGACTCTGTGCATTCGTACACATACTTCTGTGTATATATACACACTAAGATTTTTAAAAATAATTTTATGCCACACAATAACCTAACTAAACCAAAAAATGATTTTTTTGGGGAATAAAATGGGAGTTCAGGACAATGCAATACATATTATCTTGAGAAGTGATTGTTAAATTGGATAAAAATCTGTTAAAGAAACAATGAGTGCTGTGATGCACTCGTTCCCCTCCAGAACGGAAGGATTTATTTCCCCACCTGCTGGAAGGCTGCTGGTTGACAGTCACAGGCTTGAGAGAGCTGCCTTGCCCAAGGTCAGACCTGGCGGGGGGGTAGGCAGCTGGTGCCCACTGAATGGTCAGTGTGGAAGTATAAAGACCAGACCCTCTTCCCCCCTTCCCCCTTGCCACAACGTAAGACAAATGATGTGGTTTGGATCTCTGTCCCCACCAAATCTCGTATCAAATCGTAATCCCCGGCTGGGCGCCATGACTCACGCCTGTAATCCTAGCACTTTGGGAGTCCAAGGCCAGTGGATCACTGAGGTCAGGAGTTCAAGATCAGCCTGGCCACCATGGTGAAACTCCATTTCTACTAAAAATATGAAAATTAGCCAGGTGTGGTCGTGGGCACCTGCAATCCCAGCTACTCAGGAGGCTGAGGCAGGAGAATTGCTTGAACTGGGAGGCAGAGGTTGCAGTGAGCCTAGATCGCACCATTGCACTCCAGCCTGGGCAACAGAGTAAATTCTGTCTCAAAAAAAAAAAAAAAAAAAAAATTGTAATTACCTCTGTTGGAGGTGGGGCCTAGTGGGAGGTGATTGGATCATGGGGGCGGTTTCTCATGGTTTAACACCATCTCCCTAGCGCTGTCATCAGCAGGAGTAAGTTCTCATGAGATCTGGTTGTTTAAAAGTGTGTGGGACCTCCCCTGTCTCACTCTTCCTCCTGCTCCTGCCTGTCTCACTCATCCTCCTGCTCCTGCCACGTAAGATGCCTCCTCCTGCTTTGACCTCTGCCACGATGGAAAGCTCCTTGAGGCCGTCCCAGAAGCAGATGCCATTGTGCTTCCTGTACAGCCTGCAGAACTGTGAGCCAGTTAAACCTCTTTTCTTTATAAATTACTCAGCCTCAGGTATTTCTTTACAACCAATCTGAAGCATTATGGCAGCCTCAGGGAGTCCTATGGGGTCAGCGGAGACCTCACTGAGACTGCATTCCAGCCCAACTTCTTCCTCTGTCCCACATCTGCCCCTTTTCTCTTCTTTTCTTTTTATTTCCTTCCTTTTCCAGGTGTTAATCCAGAAAGTCCTCTCCAGTCAACACTCTACATGCTAATCTTGGAATCAGCTTCTCTAAAGATCGAACTGCAAGAGGCATTCAGGAAATTTTTTGCCTCCTAAGACACTTTTCTTCTCCACAGCCGCTAAATTGATCAAGACTCATAATTGTTTGAAGAAAATTTCTGAAAATCAAGGAATCCAATGAACGCCTATTTGAATTCCAGTCACTTTTTCACATGTGTGTAAAACCTTCACAATTCTATGGGAAGACAGATTTCAAAATGAGACCCTGAAGTTTTGGTAGGGGAACCAGATAAGCTGTTATACAAACTGTGGGAGAGTTTCAAGCATTGCAAACAGGTGCTGAGTAAATTACCGTTGAGCTGGATAAAAACGATTTTCTTTCTTTTTTCAGAGACAGGGTCTCTGTCACTCAGGCTGGAGTGCAGTGGTGCAATCGTGGCTCACCCCAACCTCCAACTCCTGGGTTCAAGTGATCCTCCTGCCTCAGCCTCCCAAGTAGCTGGGACATAGGCATGCACCACCATGCCAGGCTAATATTTTATTTTACCTTTTTTTTTTTTTTTTAAAATAAAGATGAGGTCTCACTACGTTGCGCAGGCTGGTCTTAAACTCTTGGCCTCAAGCGATCCACTGGCCTCACCCTCCCAAAGCGCTGGGATTACAGATGCGAGCCACTGTGCCTGCCTTCCAAAATTTTTTCAATAGATTTGTTTGGTGTTCATGGCTAGATGAAGGCTGAATCTTTCTCTCCCTCTTTCTCTGCCTTTCCTTTTGTTTCTACAGGTCCCTCTGTGTTATACACAGTTCTGATTTTTTTTTTATTCTCTTTCCTCTTTCCTCATTTCCTCATTTCCTTTATCATTTTCCTTTTTCAGTCTCTCTCCATTTTATTTCTCACTATTCCAATCTCTACCTTGGCCGTTCTGTTCCTTTCCTAAAATTGCTCATCAGTAGAAACTGATTTGACTAGAAATAGAAAGTACCGAGCAGGAGGGTTCAGGCTGGATGACAGCTTTGCCAAGGGATGAGCCCATCTGTTGAGTTTAGAGGGGCAGAGGGGTAAATCCAGGCTAAGGACACAAAGATGAAGAGGCAGGAAGACAAGAGTCAATGAAAGAGGTACCAGGGAGTAGACCTGAACTCTGATTCAATTTCCTTTCCCTTCCTTCCTTCCTTCCTTCCTTCCTTCCTTCCTTCCTTCCTTCCTTCCTTCCTTCCTTCCTTCCTTCCTCCCTCCCTCCCTCCCTTCCCTCCCT